AAACTATAATGCAACACAGACTAGGTTTTTCTGGCTCATTTTCGAGTTTATTAAAATTAAGAAGATAATTTTACATATACACATATTCCTTCAGAGCCCATAGTATTTCCTGGTGTCCTCGACTGTGCTGGCTTTTAGGGAACATCAAAGAAGCTGATGACTCTGCTTTTACAGAGATTGGGCAATATTGGGAAAAGCAACATAAAACTCATGGACTGTTAAAGTCAAATAATTGCCACGTGAATTTGATAAAGCTGTGTGTTCTTTGTCCTTCCCTTATGGAAATTATTCCCACACCAACCCCCAGCAGTTCATTTGTAGTAAAATTTCCAGTGTGGCCCACTTTCTTACCCTCTGACCACAGAATAAATTTGTGGAATAGGGGTGCTCTAATATAATACTTTGATTTAATAAATCAAGGTTTTTTTTTTCTGTAAAGCTATTTGACCTACATAACAGCAATGCCCAATAAACACTAAATTGATTCTACCTCTGATCCTTATCCAAAACATTCTTAAATCTATTTAGCTAATCTGATTGTATTTGTGTGAAGTTTGTTTTCATAGAAAAAGACCAAATAAATAGCACCATCTAACTAATTCAATCCCCAGGCTTAGTTACTACTTTGAGTAGATGCAAAATAGAGTCAGGCAATTCTATTGTGCAAGATTATTGTTTGTTAGGTTATGAAAGATTAGTCCTTTCACTTCAAATATCAGTGTGTGACACTTATAACCTATGAGTGAAAAACCTCGTCTTTAATGATCAATATCCTAGGTTTCTCTCTGGAGAACAAATCCCCTGCCTTTCCAATAGTGATATTTGATGTACACTGAATGCTTACTGCATGCCAGGCACTGGTCTAACAGCTTTATATGTATTAACTCATTTAATCCTCCCTACAACCCCATATTATGATCCCCATATACAGATGAGGAAACTGAGGCCCAGAAATTAAATGATTTGCCCAGCATTATACCACCACTGGATAGTAAAACTTGTCTGGCTAAAACAGAGCTAACTCTGAAACATTTTGCTATCTTACAGCCTCTTGGGGGGGGGCATTCTCAATGAGGTATCTATGGCACCTCAAATGTAGTCTATCTAAAATGTGTCATCATCATTTTCTCCCTACAATTTACCTTTATCTCTTGACTTCCCTATTTCTTTCAGGTCTATATTGGTATTTATTCTTAATAACACCTGGCTATTTTGCAAATACTATAACATGAAAGAAAAAAATTCTACAGTGGGAACCATAAGTCTCAAGATTCTGGTTCTCATTTAACAGTATGACTTTGGGGCTTCAGGTAATCACAGAGGGACTAATTTCCTCTTCTGCCAGACAAGGTCTCTCTCCTGCTCAATTACTCCCTGTACGAAGTTTATCTTTATGGTAAAATCTATAAAATGTGAAAAAATTAATGAACAGTAAAATAAAAAAAAGGAAAGAAGTATTTTTTAAAAGCAGTTTGTACCAGATTTTTATTCTGATCACTCAATAAAATTGTTCTGTAGATAATTTCATAGCCAAAAAAAAATAAAAATAAAACCCTAAGAAAGATGTGTTCATAATTTTTAAATTCCTATGTAAATTATGGCATATCCACACAATAAAATATGATGTCATAGTTCTAAGATATGCTTTTAAGGGTTTTGAAAGACATGGGAAATGTTTTAACTTTAACTGCACAAAAGGAATTCTGATTAAAATGTCTCCACCTGAAACTTCACTGTGTACATATGCATTCTCAAGTCAACTTTCTGACATCTGGCTGCCTCCTTTCCTGTTCCTCATCTTTCTCCAAGCTCTGAGTTAATCAAATTGAAGTATCAAAAGTACAGTAATTTCTTTTGTATTTAGGAAGCTTGCCAGCTCCAAAAACTCTACAGACACCATTAAAAGATGAAAGTCAACAAAAACAGCGTCTCGCAAAGAAATTGTAACTGCCACTCCAGGGAGGCATGATGTAGTTTCCCTCTGGGAATTCAACAAACAAATAAGACTGAGATGAAATTTGCTTAAGAAAAAATCATAAATCCAGACAAGCAACAATTACGCTGTAACCAACCATGTGCCATTAAAAACTATTTCATCTGAGAGGGCTGTGCCATTAAGTAAGCAAAACAGATTCTAAAGGAAGCACAGTTGCAGAATACTGCTTTAATGCAAGCTTATGAGGTAATTATTAAATCAAGTGAAAGAAATCCAGCAAACAATATCAGCTCAGGGCCTCAGAATACTTACAATAAAAACAAATGTCTACCAAGCTGAATTGTTGCTTGTTGCATAGGCTCATGGAGGAGTTTTGCTGCCTTGTATATTGGGACATATTTTTCCTTTCTTTTACTTTTCTAAACATGAATCTCCTCATACAAAACAAAGCAATAAGGGGCGCCTGGCTCAGTGGGTTAAACATCCGACTCTTGATTTCGGTTCAGGTCATGACCTCAAGGTTGTGGGATCAAGGCCCACGTTGGGCTCTGCACTGACAGCAGGGAGTCTGCTTCAGATTCTCTTTCTCCCTCTTCTCTGCTCCTCCCTCGCTTGCATTCTCTCTCTCAAAATAAATAAATCAACTTTTTTTTTTTAAATATAGCAATAAGCTAATGCTCAAGAAAGATATAAACATATGACCCTCACATGCGTTCAATGCTAATATAGTCTTCCTGGGGATTCCATCTCTACATTCTTTCTATGCAATAGACTATTGTTTGTCAAAATGGTCCCTGTTTAATGTAATGTGAAAAAATGTAAGTGAAAAAAACTTTTTGGCTCTAAAGAAAATTGTACATTTCAACATAAATTTTTAGGGTCATTTCTATGACTGTAAATATAATTAACATTCACAGTGTGTCTGTGAAATTTTTTTGCATTTTTCTAAGCAATAAAACCTGCCTCTTCCCCAGAGAAATATATTAATAATTAAAAAGCTTTATAGCTTAAATACAGAGTAATCCATACTGCAACTGGTAATGTTAAATATGCTATTACTATACCCTTAACGTTCTTAAAATTTTTTGCAAAGATGTAAGTTTTTTAGTAACTAACATGAAAATAAATTAGTACACCAATGATTACACAAGCGATAGCCCAGTAAATATACACATACAGACCCTAGAATGTTTTAAAATATGAAATTCATATTTTAATTCATAAAACAGCTAACTAAATAGAAGTTCTGCATAGAAAAACAGTGTTTGATAATCTTGCCACCAAATACTTGGTTCACTTTGAATGTTAATAATATCTTTCAACTAGGGGCGCCTGGGTGGCTCAGTCCAGTCGAGCATCCAATCATGATCTCATAGTTAGTGAGTTCGAGCCCTGTGTCAGGGCTCGGTGCTGACAGCTCAGAGCCAGGAGCCTGCTTTGGCTTCTGGGTCTCCCTCTCTCTCTGCCCCGCCCCACTCGTACTCTGTCTCTCTCTCTCAAAAATAAATAAACATTTTTAAAAATAATGATAATATCTTTCAACTATAACGGTCCCTAATTTGACATAAACGGTGAAATAGCGGGTAGGTCCCAGAATTGGTTACAGGGGGACTATGTATCTTCACAGTGAAGGACTGGGCCAATGACACCTTAACCCAGTGCTCGTGCTCAAGCTTAGCCTCAGCAGTGGGGAAGACCCCTGTTTGTTCTGTGATGCAAGAGGAGAACACATCCCTTTTGATGGTTCCTGGCCAAAATACTTGCTTTGATCTAATCAAGCATTTGGATCTAGCCTCCTATTTCAGGAATTACAAGAGCCAGAGGAGTAAACTAAATGACACCAGCAAGAAGAAATGAGACAAATCCAGAAGATAGGACATTCCCCAGAACAACTGGTTCTGTCTCTTCCGCAAGTCAGTGTCATGAATAACAAGAGGCTGTTCTAGATTCAAAGAGACTTCAGGTACACAACATCCAGATGCACTGCATGATCGTGGACTAAATTCTGCTTAAGATAAACTGTTGGTCAAGGACATTGTGAGAGAACCACGGGAAACTGAATGTGTGCGGTATTAGGCAATGTTAAGAATGATTACCAATTATATTAGTTGTGATAATGTTGATTTGGCCATGTAGCACAGTGGTCTTACTTTTAAGAGATACATACTTTTAAGAAGGGAAAATGTTAAGATGTCAATATTTTCCTTTAAATTGCTTCAATATAAACACAGAGTTTTGAAAAAGAGGGGGATCAATTGCAAAACAAATGAGTATAAATGGTTTAAGTTTCAAAAATCATGATTCACTGTCAAGGATTATGCTTAATTGAAAAAAATATGATACATGAACAGAGAAGCTTTGATCTCAAGAGGCCTCCCCCATCACTACCACCCACAAAGTGCTAAATGAAAAAATTTACAAACTTGAAGTAAAATACCAATTTTGAAATTTTTAGGCTTGTGAAACCAATGTTCAGAATCACTAAAGAAAAACAGATTAAAAATCCAAAATTACAGCATGCTATTGCAGAATAATCACAACTTGGGCAACATGGTATGTTGATTTTCATACTGCTGTTTTTATTGTATATGCTTCATTCATTTCCACACCTCCTGTGGGAATTATTTTCCTTGCACATTAATAAACATCCTTTGTTCTAAGCACATACGTAACAAATAAGAAAGCAAAGTCAAAAGTTTAGATAATATTTGGGGAGAAGAACCGAACTTCAGTCAAAGCCTAACAACCAGTTTCATGAGATGACTTCGGTAAGTTGCTGTGACTGAGGATGCTGGTTATTACCTAGGAGCAATGTAAAGGCCACTAATGAACAGTAGTAAAAGGCTGAGATTCTTAGGGATATAAAATCAATTGGATTCAGACACAGACAGGGAGACCTATAAGTACACATAAATTTTCTTCAGGGAGCCTACAGCCTAGTACAAAGATCACCAGGTGGCTTTTTCTATTCCTCTGAGGAAATGTGCAATTTAAATACATGGCACCTGCCTCTCGGTATGGAAATAACAGATTCCAAAATTTAAAAACAAGAATAAAAACAAACCTCAGGCCCAGCTGCCTGCAGATCACTTCTGCATCTGCTTCATCCCACTGGTCATCACAGACAGTCCCCCACTGACCAGCATGGTAGAGCTCCACTCGGCCTTCCCGGGCGCTGCTCCCACCCACGAGGCGTATGACAGGAAACGCTGGGCCTGTTCCGCGTGAGATTAGAAACAAATTAATTAGGCCAACATATCAACATTGACTGATAAGATTAGATATATTCTATTTATTTGCCATTCTCAGTAATTAAATCATACTTATTAAGCCACTTCAGTGATTTGGACATACACATGCACGTGTATTATGTATTATGTTATTCTTCATCAATTAAAATATTCCAAACTGGGGGCACCTAGCATGCAACTCTTGATCTCAGGGTTGTGAGTTCAACCCTGAGTTGAATCCCCCATTCATGTGAGTTCAATCCCCCATATTGGGGGTAGACTTACTTAAGAAAAATATATATATATAAAAATTTAAAAAAGTACTCCAAATTGAATTATGTTCATTTAAATAGCTCTTAAGAGGAAGTAGTCTAGGGGTGCCCAGCTGACTCAGTCAGAAAAGCCAGCAACTCTCGATCTCGGAGTTGTGAGTTTGAGCTCCACGCTTAGTGTAGAGATTACTTTAAAAAAAAATATATTTAAAAGAAAAGAGGAAGTAGTCTAAATTCACTTTTCCCCCAACAACCTCAGAAACCAGAAAAAAACACTCAAAACTGTAGTTTACTGGAAACACATTTGATTTTAATGATATTGTAGTAGTGACACTGATTTTTTAATTTACAGTGACTTGAGCATTACCAACATGTAATTTTTTTTATTATTTTAGAAAGAGAGAACAAGGGTCAGAGGGAGAGAGAGAATCTCAAGCAGGCTCCACACTCAGTGCAGAGCCCAACATGGGGCTCAATCCCATGATCCCGCGATCTGGGGTCATGACCTGAGCTGAAATCAAGAGTCAGGTTGCTTGGGCACCTGGGTGGCTCAGTCGGTTGGGCGGCTGACTTTGGCTCGGGTCGTGATCTCTCAGTCCGTGAGTTCGAGCCCCGCGTCGGGCTCTGTGCTGACAGCTCAGAGCCTGGAGCCTGTTTCAGATTCTGTGTCTCCCTCTCTCTGACCCTCCCCCATTCATGCTTTGTCTCTCTCTGTCTCAAAAATAAATAAACGTTAAAAAAAAAAATTAAAAAAAAAAAAAAAAGGTTGCTTAACTGACTGAGCCACCCAGGTCCTTTTTTTTATATTTGCAGAAATCAAGTTGAAGTTAACACCTAACTCATTATAGCAAGGTAGTGAACATTATGGCCAATACCTGTAAAAAACAATATTGAGAATTCATTTGGATATGAATCAGTTCATATTCATTTTCTAAGAACTACCAAAGGTTTCTCATTGCAAATTCCTTATTATGGTCCACAGTGCCCTGATCTAGCCCTTGTCATTATCCTGAATATCTCTCTCTACTCCTGGCCTCCTTCACCAGGGTATATGTATGATGCCCTCATCCTTTGAGGATACTCAAAATACTCGAAGTTGACTCCCACCTTAGGGTTTGTACACTTCCTGATTCTTCTGCTTGAAATAATGTTCCCACAGATCCTCCCCTGGCTGTGTCCCTCAGTTTTCAGCTCTGAATTGTCCTTTGCTTAGAAGGCCTGCCCTGGCTACCCTAGCTAATGAAGTACCTTAAGGTACTTTTCACTATATTGCCTTCTGAGTATTTACTTTATCTAAAATTATCATTGATTTATTGGTTTACATGTCAATTGTCTGCCTCCTAACAGCTAGAACTGAGGACAGAGATAGTGCCTTTCTCTTTCACCTGGGTATCTCAGGTTCCCGGCATACAGAAGGCACATAATGAATATCTGTGGGCTGACTGGCTGACAAGTGATAGCTAAAAACCTAGAAAGAATATCCCAAACATGGAAAAATAATTAGCAATATTCATTCACTCAGTTCTGTTTAACAAACAGATATTAGGCACCTGCAGGGCTGCAGGGCATTCACAGGAGCACTAGACAGACCCCACCTTCACGAAGTTCACTACCTAAGGACATGAACAAAGTGAGTACAGAGAAGAGATCATCAGGAACCTGTAGGGATTCAGAAGCAAGGTAGTCTGGGAATCTCTTCTGAAGAAGCTGTTATCTGAAGAGGGCCAAGGTGGATGGATGGGATTTCAAAAGTCAGAGATGGGGTAAGTGCATTTCAGGAAAAATGAACAGGATGAGCAAAAGCACAAAGAAGCACAAAGGTGAATGTGTTTGGGAAATAGTAAGCCAGGATAATTTTTCTAGAATAAAGGATGTAATATGGTAAAAGGTTCAGAATAGGCTGGGCCCCTATTCAGAAATTTAATTGTAGCTTTTGCCAAATGCTAATCATTTATCCACATGAAACAGTTTTCTAATTCCTCCATAGTGTAAGCAGCTGTCTGTAAACGGTATTGGGATATTCATATTTATATTCAAATATCGTACTTGAGTTTTGCAGCACAGATTCAGACCAGTGAATATTTACATTTACTCATTCTGATCTTTAGAATATAGCTCATTTATATAAATCAACTAGTACTTATAATTTATAAAAGGATAAAGATAGTTTTAATAAATATACATGTTCTCAATATTGTATACTAGCTTCTTATAATTAACTGATGGCTGACTAGTGGTAAGAAACTTAAATTTGCATATTATGTTTATTTTCCCTTTAAAAAGCTTGGAAAACATAGAAAAAAATGATGGAAAAATGTATAAGTTTTTTAAGTTATTATATTCTCCCCTGCCTCCCCTCCCCCTGCCACTGTGGTAAGCTTGGAGATAACAGAAAAACAAAAATTTTTAAGAGGAAACTTAAAATCACCTACAACCCAGAACCGTATGGCATATTACCTTATTTTGTGTGTTTTCATGTTTTATTTTAAAGCATGTGGGCATTTTTCTGGCTGTATAAGTAATTGTGAAAATATTAAAAAAACTCAAAGACCAAATGACATCAACATCCCACATCCTCCCGACAAGCACACAGAAAATCATTTGAAAGAGAATTCAATGAGGTAGTTGACTCATGTTTAACTTATGGATAAATAAAACTCCCAGACATGTTCATTAAGATTACTACTTCCTATACCCAATACTGCTACCCAATCTCCTACTTAGGAAGTGTTGGAAAAGCAACAAAGACTAGGTGACAAAACATTAAGTGTAATTTGCAAACTAAAAAAAGTGTATTTATGGTCTATCACTGTGCCTTGAAGTAGACTGTGTTTGCTGATTTGAGCCTTTCTCATTCTCATTGGATCTTTTTTCACTCTCACTGCTAACTTATCTCAACCTCCTACATTTTGATAGATGCTTATAAATGACCTTAAATATATCTTTGCAGTCTGAGTATAAACAGGTGGATAGATGACAAAGAGAAGAAGGAATTTTCTTAAGTAGATAGATATCCTGAAAGAAAAATAATTAGTTTTCAACATATTATTTACTTCACTATTTGAAAAATGTTAAACATTTTACCAATCAGGTTGAACATAAAGTACAAGTAATAATCTACAAAAAGCAGTGCATTATTGAGCCCAATTTACATCATCCTTGAGGCAGCAATGCATAAACATGCACTGCTCAAAGCAGCATTACCCAAAAGTGGAGAATCAAAGGAAGAAAAGGAAAAATTTACAAAACACCAAGATTTAACACGCATCTGGCCCACTCAAAAAAGAACTGTGGTTCTCTGAGCACATACCTGTCCCCTATCTTCCAACTGGTTCTCCCAGCCAATTCATAGGAATTACTTTAAATTGAGACTCTGGTTTTTTTTTGTGGTGAGAAATTTTTCCATTCTTCCCCTGATATTTGTACTCCAACAGAAACCAATGCCCTGGGCTGGCTGCTAGCTTTTTAGGACCTGGGATATCTGATCATGCTTCTGTCTCCAAGGAGAATGCAAGAAGGGATGCTGTGACAGTGTGCTGTGACAGTCAACTACCTCACTGAATGCTCTTTCAAATGATTTTCTGTGTGCTTGTCAGATCATTAAAACATGATCCCCAGGGGCACGTCGGTGGCTCAGTTGGTTAACCATCCAACATCGGCTCAGGTCATGATCTCACGGTTTGTGAGTTCAAGCCCCGCATCCAGTTCTGTGCGGACACCTTGGAACCTGGAGCCTGCTTCAGATTGTGTCTCCCTCTTTCTCTGCCCTTCCCCTGCTTATACTTTGTATCTCTCTCAAAAATAAACATTAAAAAAAATTAAAATATGATCCCCAGAAAACCCATCAGCCGTCATGAAAAGCAGCTAGTCCGTCCTTTACTTATGTTTATATGAATATATGCATATTTTTGTGTACTGAAACCATATAGTTCATCATCTCATGACGAGGGTGTGGTGCATGGAAGGAGCCTTTATCCAAGGCAGTTATCCATATTATGGAATGTGCTGTCTACAACTCAAAGGAGAATAATGGTACCATGATGATATTCTATCCTATAAATATAGTGACAATATTTTGTTGTAGTTTCTGTATTCTATATTTGATTTCAAGATGATTTTCCATCTTGATTCTATCATGACTTTCCATTAGCAAAATAAATGTTTCATATATAATATTTCTGTAAACAAATTAGAGAAAAGAGAAAACACACTAAAAGTGAGATACCATTTGAAAGTCAAATGGAATTCAGAATGTTAGACGCACTCCTAACTAAAGACTATTTGACTGTAAAATATGATGATTCAGGCTTATGTCTGTATTTAAACTCTTTTAGGAAATGGTTTAACGAAGACAATTTTATCATCTGGAATTTTGTGGAAAACATAATGAAAGTAAAAAAAAGAGGCTTTTTTTTTTTTTTTTACCATGGGAAAAGCTACATGTGACAGCAGCTGCCATCTTCTGAGGACACACCCCACCCTGCCAGATGTCTTTTTCACAAAGCAGTATATTTTCTTCATCTCCTCGGCAACGGACATTGCTCCAATAAATGGGAATAAGGCCCAGTCCAGAAAACGGGGTTTGTTTTGCTACTCCTTTTCCTCTGGAAATACAATGATTGAGGTTAGGTTTATCAAATACAGGTGAATTTTTTTTGTCAAAGTATTTAGATTTTTAAAAATCGAAGAAATCAATAAAGATGGATGTGGAAGGAAAAGAAAAACAAAGAAAAAAAACTACATAAGTTTCAAGCAAGTCAAAACTCAGGAGATCAAAATTTGGGTTGATTACTTATGAGTCTTTAATCAATCTTACAGGACTAATGGTATGCATGTGCCTTTACTACCTATAGCTAATTTTAGGGGAAAATGGGTAAATACTACAGATATTAAGGAAAAGCCTGGTGATTTTGTAGAAGTGTGTCGTGTGGCTCCATGAGACTTGGATTCTAGTCTGGACTCAGCTGCAAATTACTCTAAGCTGCACGTTTCTGCAAGCTCTGCTTTCTGATGTATAAAAGGAGGGGTCTGGATGCTTAAAGATTCTTTCCTACTCTAATATTTTAGGCCAGCATTTTCAAAATGATTATTATTACTACATGTAAGCAAGATAATATCAAGAGAGGTGATCATTCATAATTTTTAAAGCCTTATATATAGTATTTGCTAGCAAGACTTTGAAACCAATGAATAAAATAATAACATGCAGATGGGCTCTGCTTTAACTCACCTAATCTACATCTTTTATAAGTAACTTTTAATATTTAGAAATTGATATTAAATTTTAAAAAGATTAAATGCTTATCTGATTAACAGGGTAATCTCTAGAACTGTCTCCATACAACAGCTTCCATCAACCCAAACAGTAAACATTCAGGATATATCAAAAATATGAATATGTCTTAGGGCACCTGGGTGGCTCAGTTAGTTAAGTGACTGACTCTTGGTTTCAGCACAGGTCATGATCTCACAGTTCGTGGGATCAAGCCCCCACTTTGGACTCTGTGCTGACAGCATGGAGCCTGCTTGGGATTCTCTCTCTCCCTTTCTGTCTGCCCCTCTCCTGCTCATGGGCACTTGTGCTCTCTCTCTCTCTCTCTCAAATAAACATTTAAGAAAAATATGAACATGTCTTAATAGCAATAATTCTGAGCTGCTCTGATCTAATTGTACAATTCTTTTTTACAAAATGGACTACTGAGGGGCACCTGGCTGGCTCAGTTAGAAGAACATGCAACTCTTGATCTCAGGGTCGTGAATTCAAGCTTTATTTTGGGTGTAGAGATTATTAATAATAATAATCAAATAAAAGGACAACTAAGAGATAATATAAGTAATCAGAGTAATCAGATTCCCTTACCTGAAGTTCTGTTTGCAAAGCTTCCTAGTGGGAAGACAGGAGGAGGCAGGCAGATTAAATGTCTTACTGATCTGACTGCAGTTGATTAACCTTTTCATTTCTATCATCATCTTTGATATTACCACTCACTGATTATTAGTCCAAAATATTTGTAAACTGCAAAATTTTCTTTCAGTCTTTTGGACCTGTCTATTCAAAACAAGATATTTTCCACACTTTCTAAAGATCTCTAGAGATAAAGGCCAAGAAAAACATCTGGCATGTGTACTTAGAAAAAAAATAAATGAGACACAAAAACAGAACAATAAGAGCAACCACAAAAGCAAAACCTTGTGTTCCGAAATGGAGCCTTCTGCTCCTGGTGAAATCCCCTGGCAATTGGCATAAAGGTGCCAGGGCTGTTGGAAGTTGGAGCGGACAGACTGTTTCACAGAGAGCGCTTGGAGCAGCCAAGAAGCCACGGTCACTGCAGGGCACTGCTGGGGCTGATGAAAGCAGCCATTCTCTAGCAGGACCTCCTCAGCACAGAACCCCCAGGCCTGGACATCACCCCTTACCCATTTCGGGATGGAAGCACAGGTAAATACCGCCTTCTTCACGCACAAAAAGATGTAAGCTGTGGATGGCTAAAAGTAGACAGTTAAATGCAAATGACAGCAGTCTAGGGCTGCATGAGCTACTGAGAAATTACAATTCTCAGAATCAAATTCTTTATTTCCTAGGACTAAACAATTAATGTTAAAGACAAAGAGCAAAAGATGCTTTTGACTTTTGACCACTTAGCATTTGCATATTTTCTGGTTAGCATTCCTTCCACATGCAGCCCTTTCTTTATAACTCTTGTGTAAAGGGAGAATAAGGGACATGAGAAGGAAGGAAGATGTCATCTTTCCACAGCAGTGATGGGTGCCCACCATTATTTGCAAATATTAGCAGCCTGATCGGGTCAAGGATGGGCGAACTCACCCCTGCTGCAGCTGGTGACAAATGACTGATGCATCGGAATCATCCCAGTGGCTGCTACACACTGTGCCCCAAACTCCATTCGCATAGATTTCCACTGTGCCTTCAAACTCATTTTTGCCACCTCGAAGTCGTACTGACCCTGAAGCGGAAAAGAATCCCAAAATCCCTTAATAGCAAATCAGCATTTGAACATTATTACTTCACCATTCCTTAGTTAACATGATTTTCCCACATAAGTGGTGAGAGATCCAGTCAGAACAATTCAGTGTCCATGTTAATGGCATGCGCTTCTTTCTTTAAATGAGGGTTTAGCAGATTCTTTTTTATTTAGTTTATTTTTTTTGATAATTGACTTCATGGTGTCAATACTACTTCTGTTTTCTTCTTTAGCTAAGCAAACAGAAAGTCCAATTACATTTTAAAAGGGGACAATGTGGAAGAGTATGACTAATGTCTGATGTTACATCCCAAATATTGGATTATATCCCATACAAAATGCTTATCATTTGTGTATCATCTTCCACTTCACATGAGGTCATAGATAAGAAGCAGAGAAACAAAATTCAGTGCTCTATTTACAAATTAGTTGTAACTGACTGCGTTATATATTCCTTCTATGGGATTTGTTCATCACTAAAGAGCAAAATGCTGTTTCCCCTTTTAACTTCAAGCAGTAGTCATGAAAATTCTAAAGATTGTGTCTATAATTTCAAAAAGGTGGTGGTATTAAAAGCATTGCCTAATGTCAATCTTAGGAAAACTGCCACTAGGTAGAATTGTTTGGTATAATGAGTGTCCCTGGAAATTTGCCTTCCCTTACACACCATCTTCACTCAGCTGCTGCAGAGATCACGACTTGAGTCATTCTTTCCAGTCTTGAAAAGAGTCAAAATTAAAATTCGAGCACCCTCATGGGGCACCAGGGTGGCTCAGCTGGTTAAGCAACCAACTTTGCTCAGGTCATGATCTCACAGTTCATGAGTTCGAGCCCTGCATGGGGCTCCGTGCTGACAGCTCAGGGCCTGAAGTCTGTTTGAGATTCTGTGTCTTCCTCTCTCTGCCAGTCCCCTGCTTGTGCTTTGTCTTTTTTTTCTCTCTCTCTCTCTCACAAATAAACATTAAGAAAAAATTTAAAAAAAACAAATGCAAGCACCTCAGGAAAAATAACATCCCATAAAAGTGAGGATGGATCAGGGTGCCTGCGGGGGCTCAGTTGGTTGAGCGTTTGACTCTTGGTTTCAGCTCAGGTCATGATCTCACGGTCTCGGTCTCATGAGTTCGAGCCCTGCATAGGTGTCTGGGCTGACAGCTGGGAACCTGCTTGGAATTCTCTGTCTCTCCTCTCTGCCCCTCCCCCGCTTGCACTGTCTCTGTGTCCTCAGAACAAATAAGTAAACTTAAACAAAAAAAGTGTAGATGAATTCAGGTTTCCCTTCTAATTGCCATTGGTTTGCAAAGTGGCTACTGGGAGGCCACAAGTCGGGCACTTAAGCAGAGATAGAAGCACTTATCATTTCACAGATAAAGAAATCAAGAAATTAAGTTCTATCAAAAAACTGTCATATTTTGCATATTTCAAAGTTGTTTCAAAGTCTGACTTTAAAATAATTTTTCCAAAATATTAGATTCACAAATTATCCATTCACTTCATTTGCAGGGGCCCAGGCATCTCCCACTATTATTTTCCAAGTCATCATCATTTAGAAATGAAACTATTTAAGAAACACATATTGTATTTCTCATGATAAATACAAAGTGTCATTTAATTCAAACAATATTAAGACAATATTAAATGGAAGGAACACATTACGCTGCCAAATCCTGATTATTCAGGAGAGAGCATGGGCATGGATCATTCACATGGCAGATAAATCTTAATCACTCACACATTCCAAACCTCTTTAGTTCACTAAGCAGGAGGAAGCCCTGTTTGGCTCAAAGAAGAGTGTGAACTGCACAACATTTTTAAAGAAATATGTCTGAAGAGTTTAACTGAGCTTTAATGATTTTTTAATCACAAAATCTCTTCCACAGAGACCTACATAATATTATGCATATTGCAAATGCCAGCATTTTATTTCAACTCAAAGAATTCACTTGCTCACCTCAAACAAACATTATTTGAAATGATATTTAAATTGATCTATTATCTATTAATCCTCCTCCACTAGATTACTCGAGTCAAAGGGTTGGAAGAAAGTTCTAGCAATGAAAACAAACTGGAATACTACTTGTGCAGGTTAAAAAAATCATAAAAAATGTAACATACTGCCTAAATCACCAAAAAGCTACCAATAAGAAATGATGCATACATAACATCTAAAGATTAAGGCATTTGGAGATAAGGCATAGAAAACTCTGCATAAAGTATAATTATCACCCTTACATCATTAGAATGCAGTGACAGAGCTGGAAACAGCTTCCAGGTCAACTATCAGTTCCTCCATCATTCCTCAGATTCTCCAAACATGCTGTGAAAGCCTGGATTCATTTAGCTGTATCTGCTTCATGGCAAGAAATGTGGAGTGTTCATCCAGTTTCTCTTTAACAAGTGAATACAAATATTTGCAATTCTGGAAAGTCAATTTGCATGTCAATGGCTAATGACTTCTCCATCGGAATCCATTCCCAACACCAACATTTGCAAGGCACACACCTTTCCAGTAGTGCTTCCATCCCCCAGCCCTCAAAGTAGTTTATCCTTTTCTTTCTTTTTTTTTTTTTTAATTTTTTTTCAATGTTTTTTATTTATTTTTGGGACAGAGAGAGACAGAGCATGAACGGGGGAGGGGCAGAGAGAGAGGGAGACACAGAATTGGAAACAGGCTCCAGGCTCCGAGCCATCAGCCCAGAGCCTGACACGGGGCTCGAACTCACGGACTGCGAGATCGTGACCTGGCTGAAGTCGGACGCTTAACCAACTGCGCCACCCAGGCGCCCCAGTTTATCCTTTTCTTAAGGCCATAACAATTTCTAAAATATTCTGAGAAATTATCTACTTTGGAATCAGAGTGAGTAGTTCTTAATGGTACATAATTCCATGCAGTTCATAATTCTTCAAATAATTATTTGAAAGAGCACTTTAAAAACTATCAGCATAATACATGCTCCAAAATGGTAAAGGATTGACATACACTTAAGATAAGTAGTTTTTATTTGGTTTTGGTTTTACTCTGTTCTTGCTTCATTTATTTTCTTAGAATGGTTAAGGTGGTCAAAATCTTTAAAAATGCATGTAACGCATTTCCCTCAATTTATGGATAATAAAGATTTCGACCAAATCAACTGACAGGACCATTTCCTCAGTTCTCATCCTTCCTACTGTTCCTCTGTTTCCAACTGTCTCCTAGATTCCTGTCATTTCTACCATCTCTGAACCTGAGCAAAGACCCTGCCTTGTTTTTGCATTTTATGTCTTTTTCATGTCTGTGCATTTATGTTCTTTGCATAATGCACTTTATGCATTATGTCATGTTGGCTTTCACCATTCTATTTGAAATATTCTATTCTAATTTGAAATACTGCAACTAATCTACCAAACATTTTATGGGAATAAATTAGCCAGGCAGAAGTGTAAGACAGCCTGAGTAAGTTTTATACACTGCCAACAGGATAGAAGTGACTTTCCAGGGATCTACATCTGAGGCTGACCCTCCAGTGGAGGACCCACTTCATGGGTTGTACAAATTTGCAGGACTATACATCTGCACAAATTTATAGGTGAACAATTACAAAGTGAAGAAAAGGAAATATCCTTAGCTCAACAACAACAAAAAAAGATAGGATGGAACAATGAAGCACTCCACAAAGGTCAAAGCCTGGTAAACTCATTTATACTGCTGTCCTAATAATAAAGTTCTTTTATTACCTAAAATTGATCCCTCCTCCCTCCCTCACACTCCCCTTCCTCCAGCCAACTACTTTGCCATGTTCCTCACAGTCTCAGCTAATGTCTCTGTACAACATGGGCTGCCCAGTCTTAAAGCCCCTCAAGTGACAATTTGATGGAAACTATTCTATTCTAAATATTCCTACTTTTAAAATGTGTTAATAATAATTTAAATTTTGAAGTCTTAACAGAGGTTTTAGGCCAACTATAACAGGCACTACGAAATTATAAACTGAACCAGTACTAGAAGGAAGTCTGGAACTGTAAAGCTGTGTGTGATATCATGTCATGGAGAGGTGTCCCTGGAGTTCATGAAATGGATTGCCCACTCCTCAAAAAAAGTTAAGTGTCTGTTGGTATTACAATCACCTAAAGGCGAAATGTGCCAATGTACAACAATGCTCAGAATTCCACTATCTTAATTCCCTGCTAAAACTGTTGAAACTATTGTCATTTCAGTTTACTCTTATTTTTCTTCTATGTAGTTATACCTCTAGTTTTGTAAAAGAAAGGGAGCATAAAAGATGCATGTTGCTCAAATTTGCTTTATGGGAAAATTTGCTAAAAACCAGGAATTCCTCGGGTGCCTGGTTGCCTCAGTCAGCACAGCATGAGACTCTGAATCTCAGAGGGTCATGAGTTTGAGCCTTACTTGTGGAATAGAGTTTACTTAAAATTTAAAAAAAAATTTTTTTTAAACACAAGAATTCCCCAAATGGAACGACATTAAAGAAGGATTCTCTTGGGGCGCCTGGGTGGCACAGTCGGTTAAGTGTCCGACTTCAGCCAGGTCACGATCTCGTGGTCCGTGAGTTCAAGCCCCGCGTCAGGCTCTGGGCTGATGGCTCGGAGCCTGGAGCCTGTTTCCGATTCTGTGTCTCCCTCTCTCTCTGCCCCTCCCCCGTTCATGCTCTGTCTCTCTCTGTCCCAAAAATAAATAAACGTTGGAAAAAAAAAAAAAAAAGAAGGATTCTCTTTAACCATTTTATCAGTCTCAATGGACACAAGAAAATCTTCCAGAGAACAGCTGACTAGATTAAAATTCCCTTCATTTGTTTCATTGGTTTGTCACTTTTTAAGGCTATTATGATGGGTTGAATTCTATTCCCCCCAAAAAACTTCCACTACCTACAGATGTGACCTTATTTGTAAATAAGGTCTTTGTTGATGACGAAGTTAACATGAGGGCATAAGGGTGGTCTCTAATCTAGTATGACTGTGTTCTTATAAAAAGGAGGAATTTGGACACA